CTTATCTGAAGGACAAGTTATTGATGAGATCAAAGTTCGACAGTGTTTTTGAGAGCTACGATTGCTAATTGGATTGTACTTACATTTGTAGTTACTAGACTTATCCAAGAGGGAGACTGTTGGATTAATGTCTAAGCCCGTAACTATATTTGGTATGTACTTGACCCGGTTGTCCATGGTCCTTTTGGGTTGCCTTCACCAGAGCAACTTGACAGGGTGATTTATGAAGAGAGAGGTTATTATGGTTTATTAATATATTATATGAATAATATATTAAAGGAGAAATCATATAGTTTAATTTATATTAGACAAGAATTAATTAAGAATTAAATCTATGGCTAAATGACATTAATTAAATATCGGGGACTTAAACTGTCAAATGTGTGATAGTTGAATATTGGGCTGAGGAGCCTCATGGACTAGGCATGGAAGAAATTAGGGATGTGTCCATCATTATTTCGGCCATAAGGGCCCTATTCCAGAAGCTTCCTTGGATTGCTTAAGGCCTAAGTTGTCCATTAGGGTTTTGACTGAAACCCTAGCAGCACTAGTATCAATATGACCCCAGGGCATCCAATTTTCGGCCACTTGAACCCTAAGAGACTTCATATCCGAAATTGTGTCTCTCCCCTCTCTCCAATATCATCCTCCTGCTTGTGTGGTGTTTGTAACCATTAGAGGAGTGACATTTGTGACTCTAAGCTCCAAAACAAGAAGATTCAAGCCATTGTTGAAGAGGTAATCATCTAGATCTGTTTTCTTATGACAATTTCAAAATATATATGCTAGATCTAGGGTTTATAAGTCTTGGATGAATTGCATGTACAATAGAGAAACCTATATCCAAGCTTTAGGGTTTGCATGAGCACATAGGATGTTCTTTTGGTTCAAACCCATCATTTTTTTCATTTTAGATAGTTTTTATGTGCTATCAGATATATTGGTTGATATATCACAAACTCAATTTGTCTGCTTATAACGCTATTTTTTTAGGGTTGTTGCCTTGAACAAGAATAAGTTACTGATGCACACAAGGTGCTCGACATAATGTGTCTGTTAGGTGTTCACCAAGATGAGACCACTTTTGGCTACCTTATCTATCTGTATGCAACAAAAGGACTCGAGCACAAGATGATTGAACTACAAGACTTGGTATCTAGGTTCAATTTGCCAAATAAATCCATTTTTATTAGTAATTTGATCAGGAGGTTATATGAAGCTTTCTGGACAAAAACATCATTATGATATATCAACATCATCTGTAACCTCACTTTTTTCACATGATATAAACTTTTTTGACTCTGAAAGTATTGGAGATTTGACTAGTCGGTTAGGATCAGATTGTCACGGGTTATTGGGAATGATCTTAACCTAATATTACACAATCTTCTTCAGGTATTTGTATTTTAAAACATATAAAAAGTATCCATGACCTCACCTTAAAGTAAGTAACTTAGTTTATATATTTTGTTTCAAGCCATAGGGGCTTTGATCTACTTGTTAGTGTTGTCTTGGCCACTTGGCTTATTCACATTGGCCATATGCTCTACTTTGTTATTAGTTATGTTAAAATATGGATAATAAGTTCTCTTATTTATCTTTTAGTAGATTGATCATATGCAGTAAATGTAAATGTTGATGCTTTTATCAAATATGAAAGTTTAAATTGAAACAAATGTCTTATATCCATGAAGGAGCTTCATTTGGTACTCTTTTTGACTTGTTATTACAGATAATTGAAGCATGTGAGTTATTGGATTTGGATTTGTAATCTTGATTTTTGACTTGTTAATACAGATAATTGAAGCATGTCTTATATTCGTGAAGGAGCTTCATTTGGTACTCTTTTGGACCTGCCCTTGAGCTTGGAATAGTTTCTAGAAGGAGAGTGTATTATGAGACTCTAAAATATGAAAAAGACAGAAATGGTGGATTTGTGTCACCCTTTGGGTACTCAACTACCACCGTTGCTGCAGCAGCTGGTCATGTTCTCTGAACAGAGGTGTGCTTTTTCCACTATCGCCCTCTATCTTGATGAATCTTATTCCAAAATTGTGACTTTTTTGGCAGTGGTATAGTCTTTTGGCATTAAGAAGTCAAATTGATTCAACTAAAAGATATTCTATTCGGTACTGGAAGTGGAATGGTTATCTAATATAGTTGAATTTGATTTCAAATCACTCATGGGATTTTCTTGTTTTTTTTCTTTTCAGTATGTTGTTGTGGGAAGTGAAGGTCCTGCAATTCTTCTTGTGCATGGTTTTGGTGCTTTTTTGGAGCATTATCGTTGATGTTATTGGGGAACCAGTTCATCTTGTTGGGAACTCATTCAGAGGTTTTTTTTCTCAATATTTTATAAACTTTGTTTTTAATTCTATAAATTATAATGATAATATTTTCTAATTTCCATGTGTACAGGCTATATTATATAAATATGATTAGTTCAAATCCTAATAATTATTATTAAACCATCAGGGAGAAAATGTGATTTTTATATCAAACCACCAAACAGAAGCAGATCCATCTGTCATCGCCTTACTGCTTAAACCAACAAATCCCCATATATCTGAAAACATAGTACGCTCACCTCACCCTAAATTCAAACAATATATATATATATTATAATATATATATATATATATATATATATATATATATATATATATATATATATTCTCTTTACTTAAAAAAAAACACTGTGATGCAGATCATTAAATGGCCTAAAACATTAACTAGCTGTGAAACAGGGAAGACAAATGTAAAGGAAATTCCTTTTTTTTTCGTCCCTCTCAAATATTGGTCTTTTTATGTATCCAAACAATTTCTTTTTCAATTGTCATTGCTATTTTCCTGTTTACATTTTTTTTGCCCATTTCAATGGTTTTTAACATTTTTGTGTCTGGGTTGTCTACGTTAACGATCCTGCTGTTAAATTGTTATGGTTATGACTATTTCCCTTGCTTTCACTACTTTCTAAAGGTGGTAAAGAAAAGGGATAATCCAAGGGTAAAATGGTCAATTTTCAAATTTAACGCTGTGATGTTAAGTTAGACGGCCTAGGGATGAAACACATTAACAAACAGTGACATACGAAATCTTTGTACAATATCAAAGTTTCATATATATTTCAAAAAAAAAAATTCCTTTGCAATTTCATATGTATTTCCCTATTTTTGCTATTTATTGCCTCTTTTATATTGTGAAAATTATGTTTGGGATGTTTTTTATGAGGTAATAGGTATTGATGTTTGTTTGGGATTTAGACCAGGGATCTCTATTCTCATCGAAATCTATGCTTCCTTATGAATTGCAAATGTAAACTTGATTAAAAAAAACTAATTTTCAAGAATCTATAATCAAAATGAAAATTTTGGAAGATGAATATTGCCCAATTGGGTATCCGGATAAAACTTCTTTGTTTCTACATGTCTTGAAGTTCTGGTAGTTTGTTGAAAATGGCGGCCTTTTCATTAGTGGCTTCACTGATTTTCACATGAAAAATAATAGAAATACCAATTTCTTCTAATTCTATGGATTGGAGCCTTGTCTCCTGATGTTTTTGATTACTGACTTTTTATGCCCTATTTTAATTGTTTTTGTTTCATCATGTTGTCCCTTGTAACAGTTCAATAACTTGCAAAAGTGTTATCTGCAATACAGGAGAATTTGGGAAAATAAGCACATAAGCAGGAAAAAAGAAAAGGTTATGATGATGAAAATTTAATTCTGCACCTTCAACTTTAGTCACTTTCAACGTTTTTAACGACTCATAGTTTCTTGCCGTTCTGAGTGCGTTTTGATTTTTAGATAAACTCATTTTATTGGAAACTTTATAATGTAAAAAGAGAAGGTTTTACTTTTACACTAAAGTTTTGTTACATAAATCATTTTTTTTTCATTTTTTTTGTTGGCTTAATGATTAATGGATTCTGGTAAAATGTAACACACCTTTGTTTCTTCATACTAATATCAAGCCTGATGACATGCTAGTATGTACCAACACCTTAATTCCTTATTTATTTTTTGAGTAAACTACAACAATGGTGCTTGTGCTTTTTGAGTCCAAAATTGTAACTTTTTTTGGTTTAGTTCATCTTTTTGAGGTTTCATATTGATTTGTCCCTGGAATCTTGAAATAAGGAACAAAATTGATATGAAACCTTAAATTAAGGACAAAAATTAATACGAAACTTGAATCTTGTTGTATCTAGTCCAAAATTGAATCTTTTTACATTTCTCATCCTTTTTAAGGTTTTATATTGTTTTTGCTCCATGGAACCTTGAAATAAGGACCAAAATCGATATGGAACTCTGAAATAAGTACCAGAATTGAAAAAATTTTAAAATTTTTGGAGTAAAGTAGAAAAATGGTCTATGTGCTTTCTGAAGGTAGTCACATCATCAATTAATCAAGATTTGAAGGTATAATATCATATCCTTGGTTTCCAACTATTTTTATTTGTTTAGTTGCAGCTTCATACCAAAATACTAGTCAGAGATCACATAATGAGGAGGATCCAAATTATCCTGAAATCCGATTGGTCTCACTCACCCCCAGTTATAACCCTGTGTCATTGAGGATCTTAGTTTGCTTGTTGGAAGGGTAGTTTTGTAATTATTTGGAAGCGTAATACATCAAATCATGTATGTCCATGTCATGCCTTTCCTTGTGATAAATAGTTATCTCTCTCTCTCACACACACACACACACATCGGGGGTGTTTCTTGAGTTATGATGGAGTTTAATGTTGTAGTGGCATTATGCAACAGTAAGTTGAAACATATAAGTTTCTATTACAGAGTTCATAACTATGAAATTCGAACTTAGAACCTTTAATCAGATGCAACTACCAACATTACTTAAACAATTATATGACTGAATTTGCTTATTTGGTTTTAAAATTTTGCGCAGGTCCAATGGAAGAACATAAGTCGTTTATGCAGTAGAAAAGAAATACTGAGAGTGAATGGATAGTATCCATGACCAACAATTACTGTAAATGAAGGAGATTAAAGTTACCAATGGAGTTTCTATAAACACCACCATCCACTGGTAAGTTGCACACTTTTCATGATTTCATTGGATTCAAATGTTTTTTTGATTCTCAGATATAACATATTTGCTGATGTGAGCAGGCATGGAATCAAACAACTAAGAACTGGATGGGCAGATGGGCCAGCATATTTCACCCAGTGTCCCATAAGACCTGGTCAGTCTTATACATACAAGTTCACAGTTAGTGGCCAAAGAGGAACCCTTTGGTGGCATGCTCACATTGCTTGGCAACGAGCAACCATCTATGGTGCAATTATCGTATACCCTCGTATGCCTTACAAATTATCATTTACCTGTAATTTTCAGTTTATATTTTCAAATGCAATCGATGGTGATGGTGGACTCCAGGTTAATAAATTTCCTTTAGTCAAGGCTTTTTTTTTCCAAAACTTAAACAAACCTCAACAAGATGAAGATTGGAAGCACGACTGAGGACAAAAGCAAACTCACAATTGTCTTGTCTCATGCTCTTCTCAAAAGCTTCTTTAATGCTCACAACCTGTTGAAGGAAATAGCAATGTACTATGTTAATCAATTTTTAAAGCATGCTCACCACCTGTTCAAAGTGGAATTTCTTTAAAAAAATCTTGATGTCTGGACCCTTAAATAAAAAAATCGAGAAGAAACTAGCTAAGATGTTGACTGTAGATTTACTTGGTGCATAGTGATTGTTAATTATATATTCCTTAAATTGTTTTTTGCTATTTTTCTTTTTACAGGATTGGTATGTTTTTATCTAACAATTTAGGGCATATTTGTATTTTGTGGTTGTGTACAGGTATAGAGAATGCCAAAATTGTGGGTTGGATTTCTGAAATGCATTTCACAAACACAACCACATTCTTTTCGTGTTTTATTAAAAGTAAGTATGTCCCCTTGTTCACTTTCACTTTCATATTTTGTATTTGATTCTTTTTGGTTTATATTAAGTTAAATGAAGCAGTATAATATAATAGAATAGAAAGTGTTGCTTTTTTTTTTGGGAAAGTAGCACTATTTCACTCTTTCATATTAACTTTTATAATCTACATGTGTATTAAATTATAATATTTTATACAGGTATGGGTTGTATTGAAGCTTGGATTCTTGGAAAAAGGTATGTTACTAAATGTGTATTAAAATTTAATATTTTATAACATAGATTGATGATGCTTGAAGCCTTTCTGAATACTAATGTGTTGATGATGAAAACAGGTATCATGTGGAAACAAAAGCATAACAATAAGAAGTAGAAACAAGAAGGTGTTCCTTAATAGCAATGTAGTATTAGGTTATATAGTTAGGGAAAACCTCTTAATAACAATGTACAATCGGATCCCCTTAATACCAGTGTATTACAATTTTTTGTCATGATGTTATGGATGAAATTGATTGTTTTGGTATATATTTGTTTCCCTATTATTGTATTATGCTTAAATGAGTATCGTGAAGACGCGTCGTAAATGTATATCGTAAATGGTTGCTGAAGTTTATGACATGCAATTGCGTGTCATCTTCATTTATGACAGGGATTTAATGATACCCAATGCGTGTCCTAAACGTGCGTCGTAAGGTTACGACACGCAAATGCGTGTCGTTTTCCTTTATGACAGGGGCTTCCTTGATACAAATTGCGCGTCGTAAATGCGCGCCGTAAATGCGTGTCATAAATACGCGTCGTAAATGCGCCTCGTCTATAGACGACGTGCAAAAGCGTGTCGTCTCTCGTTATGACAGGGGGTTCCTTGATACGCATTGCGCATCGTAAATGCGCGTCGTAAATGTGTGTCATAAATGCGCGTCGTAAATGCGCCTCGTCTATAGACGACGTGCAAAAGCGTGTCGTCTCTCGTTATGACAGGGCCTTCCTTGACACGCATTTGCGCGTCGTCTGAGCGTTTTACGACACACATTGCACGTCGTAAAAGGTTGTTTTTCTAGTAGTGTCAAGCACACGATGCTAAACATGTTGCGTCCCTCAAACTAAGAAAGGTTGTATTTTTGTTCTATGATTTCACTATAATACAGGGGGCCACAAATGCACTATAATGTATATTGGCTCAAGTAACATTTATGTTGAAAAATGTTTTTGTATGTGACCTTGTATGTGACCATCACTGAAATAAGACGAACTATTTTTGTATTATCTAACAAATATTATCAGTTATTTCAGGTTGCATAAATGCGTGATCAAAACGGAAAATACGAAAACACGCGAATGACAGAAAATGCATAGACGAGAAAATTTAGCTGTGCGACTAAACAGTTTCAACAATATATATATAT